GAGCCAGGGGGTTCAAACTCGCCGTATTTTTTGGCTCCGGAAGTTTTAGTAGTTCATTTCGGAGGTGCCCTAGGCCAGGCGGCAGCACAGTCGGTTCCCCTCTCTTCCTCTCTTCTCCCCTTGCCTACAAGTCGCTGAGTGCCATTAAAGTGCATGAAAGTGCATTAAAGTATTGTGATATGTGGATCCGTTACGTATCGCTATATTTTTGCTTTGTGGTTTTTATTGGTGTATTGTGCAATATATTGTGCTACAATTTATTGTTTCATCAATTTTATAAACGTTCTATTGTGGTGATTACTAGTGATTGTGGTGTTACTAGTGATTGTGGTGACTATCGTGATTGTCGATAGTTTTTATTTTATACAATTTTTTTACGGCATAATATAATTTATATATATATATTTAGGGCATTATTTAGTTATTAGTTATTATTTATATTAATTTAGTTATCATTTATATTAATTTAAATTAATTAGTATAGCATATTAGTATATTGATTATTAAATCTAGCATATTAGTAGTAATATTAGTCGTATAATATTTAGTAGTAATTAGTCTTAGTAGTTATTAATATTAATATTAATTATTTTTTAAGTCNTGTACTAAGCATTTCAGGACAATGGTTCGTAAATGCTGCGTGCTTAATTGCACTTCCAATAAAGAAATTCCACTACATAAATTTCCAAAGGATGTGCAACAAACAGAAATGTGGTTAACAGCGATAAGAAGAACAGATATGATTGGTAAGAATATACATATACTTATAGTATTGTTATATTAGAATATATATATACAAATACTCTATACTTTATTGCTTATTTTGTTCTCTCTCTCTCTCTCTCTCTCTCTCTCTCTCTCTCTCTCTCTCTCTTTCTATATATATATATAGATATATATGAATATAAATACATATATATGAATATATATATATACATATATATGACATATATATATATATATGAATATAAATACACAATAATTCAATATTATAAAATATATTTAATATGTTTGTGCATATGTATTATAGAAAAGTTTTAGTAATTATGTATACACTTACTAGTCAATGCATTGTCATAAGATTTTAGCAAAAGTAAATTATAAATATAAAAATGCTTATTATTTTTGTCTAATAAATTTACAAGATAATGTACATTAACTACAACACATTAGGAAAAGCAGAATATCATGAGTCTAATTATTTGATATATGTTTAAAACATAAAATCAAAAACTTAATAACATTATTCAATACATTTATGAATATTTAGTTAAACAAAGTAAAATAAATATCTATTTCAAATATAAAGTTTGTTTAACAAAAGAGTTAACGTTTGTTAAAAAAATATTGTAACAATACTTTGAAGTTAAATAATTTTATTCTATTTACATACATTAACTAGTAAGTGTATGTATATTTATTGAATTAATATATTTATTGTGACAAATGTATAAATATACAAGGTCAAAACAATCTCTTTTTTACATATGTTATAGGTGCACCAAGGGAACGAGTAAACAACTTAAGAATTTGCACTTTGCATTTTTCAGACGAAATGATAATTAGTTATAGTAAAAGACGATTGTTAAAACTTAATGCTATACCGGTATTGAATTTATCATGTGATGATGAGGAACTTAGAGTCGCTAATAATACTAATTTAATTGAGAATGTAGAGTGTGATGTTCCTCAAAATGTAGATATTAATAACAGTAATTTAAATGTAGATAATAGTTCTTCACAAATTGTAAAAATAATGATGACATTAATACAATAAATAATGATTTCACAATTTTAGAGATAAATTCAAATGTAAATAGTATTGAAAATTTAAACAACGGTAATAATATTGTATTACGTAAAAATTTTGAAAGTGCAGAATCTAACTTGTTACCTGATTCTCAATGTGCAACTTCCGAATTATCAAGCAAATCGTCCCAAAACTTCAAAANAACATTAAAGAATTTGAAGACACTTTTGCGGAAAAAGAAGAGATACATTCAGGTTCAAAGAAGAAAAATTAAGGAATTGCGCCACGGAAACATGTGGGACGATATAACAGATTTGACTGACGCGCAGAGGACTTTTTTTGAAGTTATAAGGCAGAATTTGAAGTGTAAACCAGAGATTTGAGTTTTTATTTGTATTATATATACAGAATGTCCCAGAAATGCCGTACAATCTCTCGTAAGCAGATAGAAGAAATAAAACTGAGTCGAAAAGTCCTAAACCATTTTTTTCTATAACTTATAATAAAGGAGTAATTATTAAGTAAATCAGGCCAATCAGCGCAGACCTTTAGCCAGGCGCACGTCAGTGAGCGCTCACACACACCAGGCGCGCGGCTCACTGACGTGCGCCTCTGACTAAAGGTCTGCGCTGATTGGCCTGATTTACTTAATAATTACTCCTTTATTATAAATAATAGAAAAAAATGGTTCAGGACTTTTCGACTCAGTTTTATTCCTTATATCTGCTTACGAGAGATTGTACGGCAATTCTGGGACACCTTGTATATACGGTATTATAATTATTTAAAAATAATAATACTATATATATTAAAAATAATACTACTATATATGTATTAATAATAATAATATATATATTATTATTATTTTTAAATAATTTAAAGTAAAGTTGTTTTCAGAAACTATAAAATATATTGAAAGTAAAGAAGTTTTTATTATATTATATGTTTATAAAATTTGATATACGAGTTTTTGAAATTGTTGCATTTTTTATTAATTAATTAATTTATCTAAATAAATAACAGTCAATAATTAATAAATTAATGAATTATTGATTAATAAACGTGTCTTAATAAATAATTACCATAAAATTATGTAGAATTACATATTATAAAGATATATTTAAAAATCAAACAAATAGAGTTATAAATAAATATATAATTACGTATTTCGTTTTATAAATATTTTAAAAAGATCATGCATTTTAAAATTGTAATAAATTATTAAGTAATTGTAAGAAAGTAATTGTTTTAATATTAAAAAATAAAGTATGTATATAAAGGAAGCAATAACATATTAATAATCTTATTTTAAGAAGTAATTATATTTGAAAAGTATCTTCTTTTTTAAAGGAAAGTTATGATTGATCTTGATTTAATAAGAAGACGTTTTTAGTATCTACAATTTATATGTAAGATAATGTTTAGAAAGAATGTTTATTGAGATTTTTTAAGGGTTTTGCTGTTCCTACACTGGTATTAGGACCAGTACTGTCTGCAAACAGACAAGATGTAAAAGAAGGAGTAGACACTTATATGTTTACTCAACTAACGAACAGAAATGATATAGTCAAACGCGTAAGTGTATTGATAATTAAATTTACGTTTTGGAATGTTTGAGTTTGGTTTTGAGAGTGACAGTTTGTCTCTATGCCTGCTATAAATTTCTTTGATTTTTATAAAATATAATTGTCTTTAATATATGTAGAAAGGGCCGATACGGAGTGAAATACTAGGTGTTGATGTATAAATGATAATCTTTATTTAAAAATGCCAAACGTTTCGACTCTTGGTTTGAGTCATCTTCAGTGGCATACAAAAATCTACATAAATAAATTAATATAAAAATTACANGGGTACTTTGTTACTCCAGTTGGAGAAATCAACCATTCAACCGTTTACGGTGAACATACCAAGAAAATCACTATTCAAGCTTAGAATGGCGTATGGACTATCTTGAGTCGGTCCTTTGAGCCACATATGCACCAAACCAAACCTCAGGCTTCTCTCTGGTGAAACTAATTTGTTTAGCGCTAGTAGTAAACAAAGACGTGAGTTCTGTTTAATATTAACTATCAATATTGCATGTTTACTTTTCACTTTACGTATCAAATCTCAATCAAGTTTTCTCTGATGTTGTCATAACGAAACAAATGTTATAAACTTGTTTTCTAACCTCTTTCTTTATCAGACAGCGACGCGAGTGTTCTCTCTCTCGCTTTCTCTGTTTAAGTATTTTATCAAAAACAAACGTATTTTGTTTTGTATTAACACGTTGAGTTGTAATAAAAATTTTTTATCTTATTTTATAGTTTTGTAGCACATTTTTTGTGGTATAACTTGTTTATATACACAAGATTTTCCTGTTTATTTACAAATATTAGGAGTCACCATGACTGGTGGAAATACCAGTGAAAAAGCGAGTAATCCTCTGGAGCAGTTTGTACTGCTTGCAAAAACTGCCAAAGGCGCTGCTGCCATAGAACTTATAAGACAAGCTGTCGAAACTCCTGGTGTTCATGTTTTTGGTGAACTGTTGGATATGCCAAACATAAAAGAATTGGAGAATGGACCATATGTTCAATATTGGAATACCTTGAATTTATTCGCATACGGCACCTACAAGGATTATCTCGAAAATAAAGAGAAAGTATTAGAATTAACTCCCATTCAGAAAAAGAAGCTTCAACATCTTACCATTGTTACTCTTGCTACAAAAAACAAATGTATACCTTATTCGGTGCTGTTGGAGGAATTAGACATAAAGAATGTCAGAGATCTGGAAGACTTAATCATTGAAGCCATATATGCTGACATAATTCATGGAAAACTAGATCAGAAGAATTCACAATTGGAAGTAGATTATGCTGGTTTAGGACGGGACGTCAGACCTGGTGATACTGGTGTAGTAGCAGAGACATTAGCTGCTTGGGGCCAAGCATGTGACACAGTTCTGTCATGCATTGAGGAACAAATATCTAAAGCCAATATTGAAAAACAGAAAGCTACTTTTCATAAGGAAAGAATACAAAGAGACGTAAGTCTTAAGTTGCAATTATTATATTTAGCTCCTAAAGCTGAGAGTGTAAAGTTATAAGAAACATTCAAACATGGCCATGTTCGGATTTATCTCAAACTTTGTATACAGGCTCCTATTACACAGAAAACAAATGTCCCAGGATTTTGAGCGACTCGGAGGCTAAATTGCCTTTTTAGCAAGTTTTGGCATTTTTTATATTTTCTGTATTTCTCTATAAATAAGTAACTGAATAGATGAAATAGTATAAATAAATTTATTTTTTTATGTAAAATAATACATACTTGTTCCTAACATCCCAAACATACATATTTTCTATCGTTTAGTTGGTAGATTAGATCTGCTATCCTATTTTTGCTGCTACACGTATTTGCACATGTAATTAACTAAAATATCACTTAGACAAGCTTGTGAGACACTACAAAACTTCAATTTAGTTTATGCGTAAGTTTCACTTTTTGGGTCTACAAAATTCTGTGAATAATTAACACTCTATGAATGTGATGTTTGTTCTATCTTTTGATATTATTTTTAAAAATTGTAATGAATTTACTAATGCATGCTTCTGCATTAATAATAAGTATTTTGTTTTCTTCTTTATTTTCTCCTCTTTTGATAGTAGCAAATTTAAATTGTACATATTAAAACATTAGCACAAATACTTCTCTTTTTTCTTTCTTCCTTCTTTTATTTCTTCTTTATTCACTAGATATCTGCACAACACAATGTTACATAAAATAAGAAGAATACATAAAGTATAAAAATTATAATGCTCGACAATATAAAAAATAAAAATATAGAAATATTATATTTATTACACAATTATTTGTATAAAATTCTCGTTTATTGCAATAATGCAGAAGATGTGAATTTAAGCAACATAGTACTGGAATCTTTTGTCTTTTTAAATTTACCATAATATTAATTGAAAACATTCTGATAAAAAATTGAAAATAAATTTAAATACATATACGAAAAACGAGCGCACCGACTTTCTTGTGTCTCTAATGAAGTGCCAGATGTGTTAAGATGCGAAAGACTTGTCTCAAGAACGACACAAGCTAGATGAAATAATTTTGTCTAGTTTAATTACACACAAACACACACAATCTCTAACCTAAAACCTAAAACTTGTATTATTAAAACGTTATTTTAAAAACTACAAAACAAAAATGACAAAAAGTATCAAAAAATTATCTCAGCTCTAGAGTCGCTAAAATTCCTTATAGGGATAATAATACTTATGCCTTCTTTTCTAAAAGAAAAGTTTGTACAAAAAAGATCTGAGATAAATTGGAGTATAAAAGAGCAGTTGAACATAATCGGCTACGGATAAAATGTGGGATTGTTTTCATTGTGATGTTTAGATTACTAACATAAAGAAATCTCTCGCCGCTCAATCAGGAAGTGGAGGCCTTCAAGAAGCCGACATGGTAGCTGGCGGTAGTTCAGGCTCAGGAGGAAGCGACTCAGGCAGAGAAGCTATGCCGGTATTGTCGGAAAAGAAGAAATTACAAAAGGTCAAATGTATCAAAGTCGGCGGTAAGTTTTGGAAGACATAAATTCAGTAACCTCTTGGGCAATGTATATTCTTGATGCCATTTAAGCTGTCGGTTGAATCGAATTCTGATCTTTCGGACTTTCAAAACACAGTTAAGCTGTGCAGTTATTTATGCGATTGAGTCAAAAATGAACAATGAAAGAAATTATTTGACATTTTTATGTTATTTTTTTTTCATGATTTGGTTTTGATTATGTTCGTTTTTTTTAGGAATGATGTGATGATGATTGGTGAATGGAATGAATATAATATTGAAACAAATCTATTAATTATATGTTTTAAAAAATATATATGAAGTATATAAAGGATCAGAGGAGAGCTGACACATTTCTTGACAAGTAAATAAAATTATAAATAAAATATATTTCTAAACAAATATCAACATAAATGTAAGCACAAACAACTGCATTAATAAGGATATAAAAATTAGTATCAAGAAATGTTTGCGTTTATGCTTATTTGTTTAGAAATACATTTTATTTAAGCATCAAGAATTGCGTTGGCTCGCTCCGAGCCTTGGAACTTTTAGTTCTCTTTAGTTTTTTTTTTTTTTATTAATTTATATTATATAACACATGTGAGATTGATTGACTTGTACTACTGGAAATTATATAAGTTGGTAGAAGACGTTTACAGAGCAAAAGAATAGCAAAATGTGATGTTTGACAGTGTGACTTGCGTACATATATAGCATCAAACTGTACGTCTGAAGTATATAAAAATACTCGATTTTCTTCTTCTGTAATATTTATAAAATTAATATATTTTATAAATTACCATATTATAAATAACAAGTGTTTGTTCTTTTGTAAAAGTGATTTACTGACAGGTTTTGATATAAGAAGTTGGTTTTTAGAAGAAACCGCAGAAAAATTTGTGTATAATAAAGTTTTATGTTAATATCTATAAATGTTTAGTGAAATAGAGAAGAAAGGAGTGGTGTATACATATATATAATATATATTTCGTATCTTTATATATAAATATATTGCGATTGATTTTAAATATCAAGATTTGGTGTAGAAACGAATTTTGATACTGTTAAACAAAATTTAGCATTCACATTGTTAATTATTTAGCGATTGGATTTATAAGGAGCAATATATATATGTTCGTTTATGTACACGAGATGTATGTAGTGAGATACATGATGAACAGTCCTTACATCGAGCATTTGAAAACAATGGATCTTTATTTTTCAACAAAGATAATCTCGTAGATAAGCTTGACTACACCCTTGTAAATAAACGTGTTTATTTAATTTTTAAACCAAAGATGTCAAGTTTTTGTGTTTGTAGGATGTGAAGAATTCAGTTGCGATTTGATTCTTCTCACTCTCACTCTCTATCTCTCTCTTTTTCTGTCTCTCTCTCTGTTTCTCTCTCTTTCTCTCTTTCTGTCTCTCTCTCTCTCTCTCTCTCTCAGCATGAGAATTCGATGAATTATGCACCGTATAATGCATATTTTATTAATTTATACATAATTGTCACACAGTTATATAAAAAACAGTGATCATATTGTGATGAGTTAGTTAAACGCTCACGTGTATTTCCACCGAAAATACTGTTTGTATTGTTTATGTTCAGACAGATTCTCTCGTAAGGTCTAGCCGCTAAATATTTTACTGACGCGACAAAAGAGTGTGACTAGTTGGAGAGAGATGGTTTTTTCTTTTCGTTTTTTTTAAGAAAAACATATATTGAAAAAAAAAAAAAAAAAAATGAACTGTAAAAAAGGTACGCCACTGATGTAGCTTAGCAAAGACAAAATGTCAGTCGTCCGTTAAAGCGTTGTAATTGCTATTCGAATAAAAAGATAATATATTTTAGCGTGGCTTTTTCTATTTTTCCCTTGATGCTTCTCTTTCCTCTTTACGTTCATAATACGTAAGTTGTTGAACAAAAATAGAAGAAATCTGATAAATTCGATTTCAAGGCGTGCGAATAATAAGCGTGAATATCATCAACTCTGTAGGACGACAAAATTCCACGTTACTTTGGGAATGTATATAAAAAAAAATAAGAGAAACTCATTAGAAATTCATTAAAAAACTATTTGGTTTTTGTACATTTTAGCTAAAGTTCCTGCACTCGCACGTAATTACATTTTAAAGGTTTTTTTAAATTTACGAGTCTTCTTCACATTAGTTCGAGCATATATTTAATGACCTAATTCAGACTCACTTCCCGCGATGTTTTCTCAAAAAATTGTTCGCTAATCATGAAACAAACAAGCCGCGCAAACAATCAATTTTGCAAGTAAATTTACAATCGTACTATCTTCGGTGTTTTGTTCTCTCTTCCAATGTGTATATATAGCCTGAAACACAAGTCATGAATCATATGCCTAATCGGGATTTTCAGGATCTGCTACTGATCCGCTAATGGTCCACGATGGTCCAAGTTGGGAATAGATGAGCGAATGAATTAGGTGAAACCTCGTGGCACGTACCAAGTCGTTCGGATACTTTCTCTCTCTCTCTCTCTGTCTCTCTGCGATTCTGACGTTGGAGCACCGTCTCTCCCTGTATAAACTTTTGTAGCTTTTAAAAATAAAGCATCTTTTGAATTTGTCTTATATTTATTGTATAAATAGAAAATTGCACATCGTGCGTCATTAAATGAAATAAAACGGTAACTGATCAAGCTGTTTGTCCTTTCTTGGCTGTAAAATCCGTCTTAAGACAAGAAAACAAATTCATACGCAGTGGTTACGCTGTCGTTGATTTTTATTCTTTAATATTTTTTCGCTTTATAATGGATACATTACGCTACCGCTTGTTCTCTACTTCAACTTATATTGTAAAATATTCTTAGATCACACGCGCGCACACACACACACATACACACACACGCGCGCGCGTGTCACATACATCTAATAATATACATACTCTTTTCAACATTTTGTCATTGCAGTGAATCTGAAATTTATAGTCTCTTAAGTAGGATCAATGCAGTTTACTGAAAATCAGTGAATATTTACTGATTTAAATAGTTCATATAAGTTTTTCACTTGAGAATCTCAATAGATTTCACTGATTTATTCAGGTAGAACACTTTTACTGTGCGAATTAGGTAAATTATTCACTGAATCAATCAGTAAATATCATAATATTTTTAAAATAATTTATAATAAAAAAAAATATTTTATTTTTACAACTAATATTTTCGAGTAAGTTTCCTGATACGTATAGTTACACATTCAGTCATGCGTATGTAACTTTATCATTTAAAAAATGTTTCTTTATAATTGAGATTTATTCGCAAGCTCTCTAAGACAATAAATTCATATTTATATATACAATATTACATTCGTATTTGTACATGTACAATTATTTATTTCTTTATAATTTATATATATATATAATTTAAAAACAATTAGTTAAAAAAAATATATATATAAACTATGTATATATAGTTTATATATATATTTTTTAAAATATATGTACATGCACATGCATGTCTTAACTCTAAATATAATCTACATTATTAAATAATGTACATTTTGCGTTGTATTTTTTCGTTTTTTAAATTACACATAATATGTGATATTTTAGAGTTTTACAACCTTTAAAATGTTACAATATTTGTGCGCTTGAAATGTGCACAGAAAGTTGAAAATTTTGAGTTGAAACATCGAAAAATATAATATATTTATAATATATGGGAACATACTAAAGATTCGGTTTGTTCTCTCTTTAACTTAACGTATACGTATATATGCATTTGAATTAACATATTATTTATTTTTTGTTATTGAAACTATAAATTATTTATACTGCTCTAACAATTGAGGACATATACATATGTTAAATTATAATTATTACCCGTGATTTTTCTTCGTTATTCGCAACATATTTCAAATGTAGCACAATATTCGCACGCATACCTATATATTTTAGCGCTTATAAGAACTTTTGAGCAAATCAATATTTAATTATTTACAAATACGCGCTAATTAATTTTTTGTAGCATTTGCGCATACATATAAATTTATAAAAATTGACTACGAAAATTGAGATTAAACACTTCGTGGTACTTAAAAATAAACGCAGATGTTTAATTTGTCGTGAAACTGATGAATGAACTGAAAATATAGAAAAAACGACAAAGAATTGATAAGATGATTAACTATAAAAATTACTAATTATGTATTTAATGTATTTAATACTGAAGTTTAAATGAAAAATTGTTCTGAATATCGTTCAAATATGTTCCCGCGCGTAGCGTACGTATGGAATAATTTGTAGTAATTGAATAATTCTCGTAAGGATAATAATAATCGTAGGACTTGTATCGTGAAAATAGATTTGAACTATCCTTACGATGCTACGCAATTCACGCATATTAATACGGGGAATAATTTCTATAGTCTACAGAAATGAGTTTTTAAAGAGAGAATGAATTTGATTTTATAATATCTATTCTAAATACATGTGTATATATTTGTGTGCGTGTACACACGCACATACACACTCATATACTGTACTGCATATAATTCACTCATATGTTAAACGACGCATATATTAAATTTCGATTCTTTCACTAAGAGTTCAAATATGTTATTATTTACAAGTCAGAATATTTACAGGAATTTGTTATATGTATTAATGTCTTACTTTTTAGAAAATTTACGGCATTTACCTACCACAAATAAAAGTAATTCTAGACTACTAGAAAAATTCTCTTGGGAGAGTGTACTAATAATAAGTTGCAGCTTTTTGCATTTCAAGTTTTCGAGTTATTACGAAACAAATTTTTAACTTGTGTTGAATCATATTTACACATTTAAATTCTTATATAGTGAATTGTTTTATACATGTAACGAGATATTTATTTTGATAGCAGTTGATTTTGAGATAGGTAAGTATAAGTACAAGTAATACGGAAGTTTTGCTGGTAAATGTTGTTATTAAAAATTACACGAACTAAATACACGAAAGTATCACAAATTTGTTTAAAACTCAACTTTAATATAAACTTTAATTTAAAGTTTTTTAAGTAAAATTATCTTTTACAATGTATAATTGTTTTATTAATTAATGCCAATCACTATTTGAAACTTAAAACCGACCTAGTGTTTTCTGATAAAACAATAAAAAATTGTGGAGAAAGATTCAGTAATATCTGCTTACTATCCCACACAATACGAGTGACTGATTGTCGACTTATAGTCGACTTTTAAAAGTTGACTTTAAGCACGACTTAAAGTTGACCTTCAAAAGTCGACTATAAATTGACTAGAGTCGACTATTTGCCGACAATTAGATGGTTTTGAAAGGTGAATTAAACATAATTATTGTTGACTTAAATATAATTGCATTTAATCGGCAAGGTGAAGGCTCCAAATATCCAAGATAAACACAGTAATGTGACAAGGCCAATTGAAAATTTATTGAATATATAGAGTATATAAACGTTTCAACACACAAAACAACAGTGTTCGTGCTCCCATTGGCCTTATCACATTACTGTGTTTATCTTAGATATGTTGAGCCTTTATCACTTTGCTAATTAAATGCAATTATGTTTAAGTCGACAATAATTATGTTTAATTCACCTTTCATGGTTATCTAATTGTCGGCAAATAGTCGACTCTAGTCAATTTATATAGTCGACTTTTGAAAGTCAACTTTAAGTCGTTTGTCTTCGTGCTCTTGTCACATTACTGTGTTTATCTTGGATATACTTGTATTTGTCATCGCGCTAACGTATATATTTATGCATTTGTGTGTATATCTGACGCCTCCAGTCTCAAGTAAGTGTCAATTAATCATTGTGATCATTGCGTCGGTTGTTTTTTAAATATATTTTTTGAGAGTACTGAAAATTATATAATAATATACTATTTGTCGACTTAAAGTTTAACTTAAAGTCGACGGTTGATTATAAGACGATGGCAAGTGTTCAGTTTTGAGACGCTTACAGCTTGCAACAGCGTGAAGGGAATGCGCACAACACCAGCAAACATTTATTTGCTACTTTGTGCTACCTTTCACCGCTACAGCATGCTGTAAGCGCTTAAGAGGATACTGGATACTGACTATAGATACTTGTAAATCGACGTTTTAATATTTGATTTTGTGTCGTATTTACTGCATTAAATCCAAAATGCTTTTCCAAAAATAAGTAAATTGTGCTAAAAAAAGTGCGCTTGTTCTTTAGAATGTCAAAATTCAAAATAAAATTCAGAATAAATTTTTTCTCTTACACAGTTTTCTTCTATAATCTCACCATATATTTATGTGTGTAAAATTATTTCTAAGCTTCTGTATATATTTACACTAAATTAGCGCACTAAGTACGACAAAAAAGAACATAATGAGACATTCAGATTATGATTTGACTACTTAATTAATGAGAGAAATAACAATATTGTGATGACAAAATAGGTTATCATATGCTATCGTTATGAATAAAAAAAAGAGTTCAAAAGAGCATTATATACTCATTTTCACAAGCACTATGTAGTTTTTTATATTTATGTCCTTCTGTGGAAGCATTTTTTATGTGATGCAGTACACAAAATTAGAAATTAGAGAAATTTAATTTATCAAAGAGAAATTTAATTTATCAAAGTCTACTTCTCAACTTTAAGTCAACTGACAGTTGACTATTTTTGAGACATTCGTCATCTTTTAGTCGACTATAAGTCAACATTCAGGCTGACTCAAAAGTCGACTCTTGACTTCTCCAGTCAACTTATAGTCAACTTTTAGTTGACTTTGCGTTGTTTGGGATACGTATCTATCAACAGCAAGTTGAGAATTAAGTAAAATCCATTATTTATACATTGATGTAAATTCTCTCTTCTTTTATCTACTGTGTAATTAAATTCGCCGAAGTTTGTTATTTTTAAATTAATAATAAACAAGAAGATTCTTCGGGCTCTGTAGTATTAAACTAATTTGTTATTTTTCTTTTTTGTTCTCTCTCTTTCTCTCTAATTTAAAACGTACTAAAAAAAAAGCGTACTATGTATCGCGGGATTTATATATCTTCGACATGCTATACACACACGATATGCTTAATAAATTCAATTCTACTTCAGATTTACTCGATCAAGTCCAACAATTTGAGCATCGAATAATTTGGCGTCCAATACAATGCTTACGCCTGCTTGAATCTCGACGTATTTGACAACAAATAATTATTCAATCAGAGACATATTTCGTTTTTTCCTCATCACACATGTGTTCTGAAAAGGGCGTTGACGTACTTTTAATTATATGTACAATACACACACACACACACACACACACACACACGCCCCGATGAACAATTTCTCAGACGATAACGGGCTTCTTGGAGAGCGGTTTTAAACTAACAGTTAAAACGGGCGGTTCCATTGGCAGTTCTATCTTCCGCTATAAAGAAACGTCGCTTTGAGAGAGCGATCCGTTACCTATTCTTGTGTTACTATTGAATCGCTTTGTCGTCGCGCTGTTTTTCGATTCCTTGTTACTCGTCGACGCAATCACATCTGGCGATTCTTGATTATTCACGACAATAGGCGACACGGATTCTCTCTCGTTGTCGCTCGTCTGAGTTGAACGCGAAGTGCGTGCCGCGTCTGCAATTTTCCGATCTTTCAACTCCATTTCGTAGCCTGCAAAAGAAAAAAAGCCCAAGTAACAAAATAATCGGAAGATTATTTTTGATTTACGATTGTATTTACATTCACTTTGAGTGGAGCAGTCTATGGTGGTCGAGATATGTTTCTTGATGGCCTTATTCTGATCGCAAGTGGCAGCCGTCAGAACCGTCGTCGCCGTCACCGGTCCCGCCATACTCGATGCTTTTGTAGCAGATATTGTCGAACTTTTCGTCAGATTAGGTCTGCCTCCTCTCACTGTCGGACGTACATTTCTCTCGGGTCGAATAAGAATAATATATAGCTATAACATAAGTAACACGAAGCGCTGTGTGAATTGATATTTCATCGTAATTGAAATAATTATTATATCGCCGTAATTACAACCATAATATTATTGTAATTAAGATAATTAAATTACTGTATGCAGAAATTACAAAATAATTTGATAGCGCGCGTATGTTACATTAAATAAAGATAAAATTCTAAATTAAAATTCTAACTAAAAGTTTTTAATTTAATTTTTTTTAAATCGTCGATATATTTTTTTTTCATCGAATCACATTCCGCGAATTGTTACGGCGCGAGTAATTTTTCTTTTTGTGAGTGTTTTTGAGACTTAAATGTAACGCGAATTGCGTTGCTTCGAGTTCAAAATCGATTTTCTCTTGGCATTTGTAATTACTGTGTAAAGCACGCCGAAGGAAACTAACGAAGAGCCGCAATAATCCCGCGTTCGATTATGTCCGCTTTGCTCTGAATGAACAAGCGTTTCACAAAGTAGTATTTCAGAATCTGTACCTTTGGACTGAAGAGGCAAACCACTGTCACGGATGCAGAAAGGCTGATTGTTACCGACATCGAGGTAATTCTCAGCGCGACGTTGTTTCCAGTGCCGTAGTACAAAGGTACGAAGGCGCACCATATAACGCACGTCGTGTACATCGTTAAGCCTGCAGTAAATACATTATCTCTTAATGATATAGTACTGATTGTTGTGTGTAAAACAAAATACTTTCGGGATAAGAGTTATGTATATATAAGTTTTGTAATCGCGCGGCAATGCGAAGCAATTAATCGAGGAGATTGTTTTTGCTTTCTTGAAAATGGTTCGTGTAAATTTTCGGAAAAGACGATCGCAATCCGGAAAGTATTGCAGCGATATAATATCGCGGCGAGCGTACTTACCGATATGCTTGCTCTCGTTGAAGGATTCTGGAATTTTTCTTGTGAGGACGGCGTAAATCGTGCATACGATTATCAATATTGTGGGATACGCGAACGCGATCATGTAGCTAACGTCGATGTAGTTCTTGCAGACGAGCAAGTTGTCCTCCATTCTGGGATGGTGGTGCATCGCACTGGCGGGATCGACGAGCATCCAGATCACGTTTATTAGGATCTGCACGAATATCAATCCGGCGCAGATAATGAGCTGCGAGCGCGGCGATATGAATGACGGTCTTCTTGCGCTCCCGGCGGTAAAGATCCTCGATATTCGATTGGTCTTCGTTAATAAAGCCGCGTATACCACGGTGAAACACAAGCCCGCGGCGAATCTGTATACGCGTAAAGGAAGTGATTAAAGTGAGCAGAAACGACGAGCAAATGACATTTCTAGTTTCGCGGAATACTTTAATTTTTAATTAAAAATATTTAATGCAAAACACCTTGGCGCGGCAATTATGGCATTAAATATTTTTTAATTTTGAAAAAATTTTTTCTTGTGTTCCATCTTTATGTTCAAGTACTAAATATAATCTTATTGAAGTACATAGGTGTGTACGTAAAATTAGGTATTAATAATCACACTTAAAAAAAGTTAAAGCATAATCTTACTTAGATACAATTATGTTATTGTATATTGCTTTTCAACAATAAAACAGGTTTTTAGAGAAAGAATATTTTATAATTTATACTATTTTGTAACCCAAGTTTTATACAGAAAAATCTTTTTGTAGTTTGTAAGAAAACTTTAACAAAAACAATTTTGTAGTAAAAAAGAATGTTTTGTAATATATAATGTTGTAGAACAAGTTTTATAGAAAAATAATTGTTTGGAGTATTAAATCAGAGTGGAATTTATTAATTTAAATATAATACGTGTTGTGCGTGTACTTTAATTTTGTATACCAAGACTTATAACAAAACAAGTTTTTGCAGCATTAAATCAACTTGCAAGTTATTAAGTAATAATTTTTTACTTCATAAAGGTAAAGTATATTAAGTTTATCAATTTTTAATTTATTAATTTCTACGGTTTTATTTCAAAATGTTTCACTATATAGTTTGTGTTATTTTGTGTAAAGTTTCAAACCAGTTTCTCGAAAAAAGTTATACCGGAGGAGTTGCCATCGCAAAAAAAATATGTTTTCTGAATTACTTTTTTAACATACGGACAATCATGGGTATCGCAAGTTCGATATGAAGCTCTTTCAAAATCGTCTGTAGTTAGACGACTTAGAAAGAGAAATGTAGTACTAGGTAGAGCGCGGTTACCACGCCGTGATCTGTCGAGACTCAAATCTCTGGGCGGATTCGTCTTGTTGGTTAGACGAGATCCCCGACTCGACAATCGTACGCAACTAAGGCGTTTTAGAATCCCGCCCGTTGCAAGTATGCGTCGTAAAACCAGAAAAAGCAACACGCTGCGAAGAACGGAAGCGAAATGTATGTGCGTCGGAGGTATTGTCGGCGAGTAGCACTACGCCGCGAAGACTTAGAAGCGAAATGTACGTGCTTCGGAGGTGTTGGCAAGGAGCACTACGCCGCAAAAACTTATTGTAAGTCTTCACGGCGTAGTGCTCCCTGCTAATAACACCTCCGAAGCACATACATTTCGCTTTTAAGTCTTCGCGGCGTAGTGCTTTGCGCCAAGCAATACAAATTTTGTCACCGCGTCAAAGTTCTCGCGGCGTGTTGCTTTTTTTCGCTTACGGGTTCTCACTTAACCACCAAGACAAGCCCCCCAGACCGAGATCCTGTGTCTCGAAAGATCGCAAGGTGGTTTAACTGCTCTCTTATCGAGTACACTACATTTCGGCCCAGTATTTTGATCGGCCACAGCACGCTACAAACTGGTAGACGTGTCTCTTTCTTCCGGAAGAGCCTAGAGCGAAAAGTTCTTTCAAAAACCTCGGACACTTGAGCGTACACATCGCGTACACAAGCGCCTCATTGAATCGCGGAACATATACCATCCGCGTACAATATATACATCATCGCGGGATCGGAGGGCAAGCAGGGCGGGGCGTTCGCCCGCTCACTAAAAAGCGACTCTACGGCCCGTCTGCCGTCCTTTTGGATCCTCTTGGCCTCTTGGAACGGCTCGTATCGGCCTTACATTTTCATTGATATTCACACATTTTATTTACACATTATATATCACACGTATTATTTTGTAGTATTATATAATTTTGTAAAACAAGTCTTACAGAGAAAAAAGTTTTTGTAATATTAAATCAATTTGTAATTTATTGCTTCATAAAATTTAATTTTTAAGTTTTTACTTCATAAAGTTAAAGTATATAGTTTGTAGTTATATTTGGTGCAAAGTTTCAAAACGGTTTAGTGAAAAAAGTTATATCAGAGGTGTTGCCGTTGCGAAATAAATTCATTTTCTGAATTAAGTTTTTAACACACATTTAAAGTATCTCATTTCTAGTTATTTCGTGCTAAGTTTCAAACAGTATAATAAAAAACAGTTATGTCGGAAGTGTTGTCGGCGCGGAATCACCACGTCGCGATAGACAGCTCTGCGCCCATCATGATCGGAGATATTGCCGGAGTCTGATTTTTATGCACAATTTGTTTTTATTCTGTTTTCTGAATTAATTTTCTACCTTATAAATTTAAAGTATACAGTTTGTAGTTATTTCGTATCAAGTTTAAAAACAGTTTTTTGAAAAAGTCATATCAGAAGTGTTGCCGGCGCGAAAAAAATTTTTTTATCCGTTTTCTGAGTGAATTTTTTATCATAAATTGATTATAAATTGAAAGTTTATAGGTTGTAGATATTTTGTGCCAAGTTTCAATACAGTTTATTAAAAACAGTTATATCGGAGGTGTTGCCGGCGCGAAATCACTACGTCGCGAAGAACATTGTCGAAGCGATCGGTATTATTGGAGGTGTCGTCGGCGCGAATAACGCGAACATTACCGTGTTTCGTGATTCTCTCCTTCTCTCTCTAACTCACACTTCATGTCTTTCTTTTTTTTTCTTGTTTCAACGCGTTCGTATATGTATGCCATCTCGTGGCAGGCATACGAACATGCACACAATTTGGTCGCACGATGACGATGACTACGTTTCTTAATCGTAAATTTTTCATCTCAAAACTTTATCGTCGTTTATCTCGAAAAATCAGAAACAAACAACAATAACAAGAATACTTTTTTTTTTAATTTTTTCAATGTGAATCGAACGAGACTAAAAAGAAATCGATCGGTTTAGTCGTTATTAAAAAATGGCTGCTTAAAAATCTCCCCTCCATTGAAATGCCTGATTTTTGCGTATAAGAGACACAGTGTGCTCGCGCAGTTCGGGCGCAACTTCGTTGCGCGTGCCTCTTGATATAAGTTTTTTTTCTCACTTCGAGAAATAAGCAATTTTTTCGCGTATCATTTATTTAAAAATAATTGTTTATATTTGCTCATTTTGTTATTGTAACGAAAATTAATTAAATAGTATGAAGATTTATATAAGATTAGATTCGCGAATGTGCTTGAGAAACTCCGCTAAGAACTGTCACTCTTGATTAGGAGACATTAGTCGCATACGGGTAATGTAATTTATCGAGTAACCGTAACTCTCACACAATTCGTAGGAACAGAAGAAAGATTAATGCTGCTAGGTCGAGACTTGTGGAAGACATACATACGAAAGAGAAGGAATTCATAGAGTTCTTTTTTTTCCTTACCTTTGTAGACCGCATACAATGTCCGTGGGTTTGAGCACAAGAGTGAATGTGACGAAATAACAGAGCAGAATTCCTGAAAGAAGCACGTAAGACAGTTCTCGTCCGGACGCACGTACGACGGGTGTGTCGTTGTGTCTCAAAAAAACTCCGCAAACAAATGACGTAACCTGCAACACGCGAATCACAAATGCTGTACGATGTAAAACTCAAACATACATAATAATAATTTATGTATATTTTCGAGATGTAATCGTATTTCAATATTTCTCTCGTTTCAGAAATCGGATTAAAATAACTTGTACAACGCGCCACCCACGCAGGTATAATACGATTGTAGTATTATATGTACCTATATAATTCGCTGTTGCAATAAACTAAACTAAATTTGCCGCATTTACTTCATCAGAGGAACATTAATCAGCACGAGAATATATCGTCACTCCCTACCTATAATCCCGTAACTCCAAAACGCAAATTTTAGAGGAGAGCAGTTTAAAAGTTTGAAGCTTCATATAGTTTCCCTAGCTAAGGGATCTTTCGGTTTTAAATTTTTACCATACTTATGAATATTTTTTTTTAATACTTGGTGACCACAAAGAACATGACTTTCTGAGTGTCACTATGCAATAAACTGAAAATCCCATATGTGACACTTATGTAATTATACGTAGGGAGTGACGATATTAGGTCTACCAAAAAGTTCTGTCCGTTTTTGGAATAAAACAAAATACAAATTTTTCTTACCGTCAATAAACTTTATTAAATAATATAATTGCCATTATTATTAATAATTTCTTGCCAGTGTGAGGGCAATTTGTATATCCCATTTTTGAAAAATTAAGAAAAATTTGTATTTTGTTTTATTCCAAAAACGGACAGAACTTTCCGTTAGACCTAATATATTTAGTAGTTCGCCTTCTTTTGTTATTTTATTTTTTGTTTGTGTAATGAAGTTTTTTTACGCGAAACTATTTCGGAAAAAGTCGCGCTTGTGAAAAATACAGAAAGACACGTACCAAGATTCCTGTGGCGGAGAAAGCCATCGCGCCTATTGCCCAACCGCTTTCCGGACGTAGAAACTCTTCCGGAACGTCCCGACACGTTGAATGGGTTTCGTCGGGTAGTGTACCGAGACGACACTGCATACACTGCGTCTCGTCTTTGGGATGTCGTATCTGAGAAACATATCGCGCAGAAATAATCGCGCGAAACGCAAAATGGAATTCTCCATTCGTAATTTTATACGTAATTTTTTTTTAACGAATAATATATTTTACAAAAGTACATCACGTTCGGCGTAGTTTTCTTTCTGAAGAAGCGCTTTTTATTCCGAAGATAATCGCAGTGTTATATATTTTCCAAAAACTCGGTGCTATCATTGCGAGCTATATAACGTAAACAAGAGCCGATATTTTCTCGCTACTGAAAAAGAACCTACAATACGCCTATTGTTTCCCTTTAAAACGCGAGAGTGATTCGCAAAGTTCATCGTTACATAACGCGGGAGCAGCTTGGAGGAGAGAGAGAGAGAGAGAGAGAGAGAGAGAGAGAGAGAGAGAGAGAGAGAGAGA